CTTCTTCGATTATATTGCTATTACCACCAAGTAATTTATCGACAAAATCTAACAAATCCCCTTCGCCACTGAAATTTGTTGATGTGCTTGCGTCCATTTGCATTGCAAATATGTGCACCTACTTTAGTCACGTGACCCGTGTTTTTCTTTTGACCGAGTTTTAATTGGATAAACAATACAGTTTCCAGACCAGTCCCTCGCCTTCTATTGACTCTGCATAATTAAACAGCAACTAAAAATGATAGGTTTTACTAAATCTTTTCCTGTGCAATCATTACTAGCATTGGAGACAAGGATAATAGTTTGTTTGAAAGAGAAAAGAACAGGCTTTGAAGTAAGCCTAAATGCGTTTAACTAGAAATAGTATTTCGAAAGTTATTAAGCACAAAAGATGAATTGCGTTTATTTTGATACACCCTGTAGAGTTGGATAAGCATGATTTCAATTTTGGAAAATATATGTTTGGAAAATCGTTACATACAACGAGGTTTTAAGCAATTATGCTTTGAGTAAATAAGAGGAATCAATATACTATACAGTTTTTCTTTGCTTGAACCTTCGCTTGTACGAAAATATTCATAAGCCACAAATTCATAATGATAGTTCACTCCATCTCCATCATATAGTCCATTGCTTTTAACAATACCTTAAGTGCTCCACAGGATGCTAATAGTTTTGCAATGAATTTTCACATATTACCGGAATTTAATAATGAGTTTCTTGGGCCAAATATGGTTCTTGCACCAGAAATGAAAACAAGTCGCGTTTAATGGTCAACAACAGGTTTTCACTCAAATGTCGTGCGGAGAACATTATCAATCTCAATTCTGCAATGTGAAAACATACAATTTGACAAATGGTTTTTCCCGTTCCTTTGTAAAAAATAATTAATGGGTGATTTCAGCGATAGACTAAATTTTGATCAAGGCAAGAAGAACGAAATCCAACACCACAGCTGGAAAGAGCGTCCAAGAATGAGTAAAACGGAAAAGATTGGTTGCTAAATGATGTAAAATGAAGAAAATATATCCCCGTGAAGTTTGCAAATTTTGTATATATTTGTATTACGCGCGGTAGAAATATTAACCACTTTCGGCTCAAAAATGATTATTTTTCCCGCGCGTAATGCAAATATATATAAAATTATTTTCTTTGCAATGTTACTCATTTGAAGATGCTCTCTCCAGCTATGGTAATGGATTTCGTTTCTTGTCTAGATCGAAATTTCTTCTATAGCTGGAATTCTCGATTACAGGCCAAAAATACAACAAATGTAACATTAAGTAGCCTGTCACGTGTTACAATTGTAACGAGTACTCACAGCCCTGTCTAGCAACACTGGTAACACTATGGTAACACAAACCCCTAGCATTTCATTTCTTCATTGATAGTGTATTTTTTTGAAATTAAGGATGAGTACGATGAAATTTTGATTGAAAGAGACCATTTGAGAAAAGATCTGGATGACTTAGGGCGCCATTTTAGTGTTTTGGAAAAGGAATATCTGGAAATTCTAGAAGAGCGGAGGTTGGCCGCGGAAGCTGAAGAACAACGAAAAATGGAATTCGAGAGGCAAACTACTGCTTCCATAAAGCTACAATCGTGTTGGCGTGGATATCTTGTACGGAAACAGATGAAGAAGAAAGATAAGAAAGGGAAAAAAGGAGGAAAAGGAAAAAAAGGAAAGAAGAAATAATAAATCTCTTTTAATGCTAATTTTTCTTCCTTATCCTAATGTGTGTGTATGTTATATATTATCATGAAATAATATTATATGTAATCTTTGGTATTCAGATCCAACATGTACAGGCATATGGTATAAATTAACGACGCTCTTCTTAAGTTTAGCTATATCTGTTCTTGACTAACTTTATTTCTCACCTTATTCCTTACTTGTGTCATATTTCCTTATATATTTTTTAATTATCCCGCAGCTTCCTTGCCTTTTCCTTAGTAAATTATATATTCTGTATAGTGTGATTTATAGTTTTGTTTACACTTTGTTTTTGTTTTGACCAAGTCCATTTGATTACCATATTTTTTTAGCTTGTTTATTACTTTCTAAGTCCAATAATTCACAACTTTTGAAATTTCACATGTATCCTCCTGAGTTGCTTGGATAAACCTCGTACATAGGGTATAGTGACAACCAGTACCCCTAAATCCTCTTCTTTCACCCTTGTCAAATCTCCTGAGGTTTTTTTCTTTACACTGCATATACTTTCTAACCTTCCCTCTGACCTCTCTCATAACCATTCGCTATAAAAATGTCCTCGACGTTCTTAATTAGTTCCTATCCCAAAGACTTTTGGTCAGATAAGGCCCGTGCCCTGTCTGCAAATCCTTTTATAATGGCTTTCTTCTTAGAGGGGGGATGGTTTGATCTTTCTTTGACATTAATGTTAATGTGTGTTTTCTTATAATGAATCATACGCTCAACCTGCTTCGTCTTATCAACTTTCTCTTCAAATCTAAAGCCGGTAAAATGTCTACTTCTTGCTCTTCCTTCGTAAATTCCTCTCACCATATTATGCAGGTGCTCAAGTATCCCTTCCGAATATTCCTTCTTACACTTCAACTCACCATCATTCACATAGCAACACCTTTGATCTACAGGGTACGGTGAGATATCCTTGACCCTACCACGTAAAAGACTGCAATATCACTCGTCCAGACACGAATTCGACCACTTTCCAGGATTCTGCCCGAAACGTTGCAAAAATAAAGAATCAGTTATACCTTTGTACAGGGCCATAACTAGACGCGATAATTGGGGGGAGAGGTTGAATATTCATATACTCGTGTTCTGCCCGACGGATTTCTTTGGAAAGCGATTGTTTTTACAGTATGCGAACATGATTGTGCGAATATCCCCCCCCCCCCCATTATCGCGTCTAGTTACGGCCCTGTCTTTGTATAATCCTTGAGTTATAGTTAAATGAATTTAAATAAACTATAGCTAGATTTTGTTTCCTGCTAAATCTGACTGGAAAGGACCGCGCTTTTTTGAGCTGCGTTAGCAGCTATGTGATTTATACCTGTTGCTGATCGGTTCCCACTATATTGTCAATCATCTCCGTAAATCATGTGTTAGGGATGCCACAATGAAACGCATAAAAAGAGCTGCTGTATGGATCTTATTTTGAAGAGTCAGTTTGAAATTTGCGTTTCTACACCAAGCAAAGCCGAGTTCAATTTTATTTATTCCCTAGATCATGCATAATGATATTGGGGTTGGATGTCGTGGATCCGTCTAACCGCACATAGAGGAATTCATCTACTCAATATCAATATACAGTTGAAACGTAAGGTTATGGTCAGCTAGATGGCCGCAAATTTAGATAAAACGCGTTTTAATATCTTCCAGTAGTATGAGGTAGCTACCAGATGTAAAAAATTATATGCACATTTTTCGTTCCGTTACTTTCATGGCTTTCAAACAATTTCCTGGCATACCCTATTGTTTACAAATAAGCATTATATCTCATGAGATTGTTTATAATCCCAGCTCCAATTAGAAAATACAGACCATCTAGATCTATCACCACTTGATCTAGCAAATCTAATCAATAACACATTCCTTGAGCCTATGAAAAACTTCTCTTCCCTCAGCGATACGACCACGGAAACCCCTTCACAGTCTGATCACTTTCCAACCAACGCATTAACTACACCAGAGTTAATAAATCATAAGCTTAATGTTCTTAATCGTTCCAAAGCACCTGGCCCAGATGGGATTCCAAATTGGATCCTGAAAGAATTTGCAGAAGCTTTATCAAATCATATCTCCATCATTATCAACTCTTCCTACTTGGAACAAAAATTGCCAAACGCTTGGAAACAAGCTAACATTATACCCATCCCGAAAAATAAACCAATCCGTGATATAAACAAGAATCTTCGACCTATTTCATTAACTCCAGCCTTATCTAAGTTGGCCGAAGACATAGTTATTGAAAAATACGTCTCTCATGCAGTTTTGGAGGTGGTCGATCAGGATCAATTTGGGGGTATTCCAAAATCATCAGCAACTTTCGCCCTCATCAGTATTATTCATACATGTGCTCAAGCGACCGACGGAACTGGCGCTTCCGTTCGCCTCCTCGAATACCGCAAAGCCTTTGACTTGATTGATCACAACATCCTGGTTCACAAAATCCGGAAGCTCTCAATTGACCATTTGCGTAACAGACAAAATTTTGATCTAAACAAGTCTGGCCAAAAATTTTATCACAGCTTGAAAGAGCATCACATAATTAGTAATATTCCAAAGTTTCGTTGCAAAATGTTGTAAAATGCGGATAATATAGCCTTGCGAAGTTTGCAATTTTCAGTCATTTTAGATTACAAACGGAAAATTGACAGCCTCAAAGCGTATCGGGCTGTCAATTTCCCGTTTGTAATCTAAAATGACTGAAAATTGCAAACTTCGCAAGGTTATATTATCCGCATTTTACAACATTTTGCAACGAAACTCTGGAATATTACTAATTTTGTGATGTTCTTTCAAGCTGTGATGAAATTTTTGTCTAGATCAAAATTTAGTCTATTACGCAAATGGTCAATTCCTCTACCTATTATTAATTGGATTATCGACTTTCTTACATCTAGGGAACAACGAGTTAAACTCGCCAGGGATTGTTTCTCCGAATGGGGAAATGTTCCTTCCGGAGTTCCTCAAGGGACAAAACTAGGCCCATGGCTCTTTATACTCATGATAAACGATCTGAATTTAACTGATTTCCAAATGTGGAAATATATTGACGATACTACTGCTGCTGAAGTAATATCAAAAGACAGTCACAGTACTATTCAAACAGGAGTAAACCAGTTGGAAAACTGGACTGTACATGTGCAGAATAAACTCCAACTAACTTCAAGTTCCAAAATGTAAAGAACTACTGTGTCAGTTTACGACAGAAGCCCTTTTCCCAATGTTGTCCTAAGTTCTGGAATTCTCGAACTAGTTGATCATGCTAAAGTTTTGGGACTGACAATCAGTAACGACTTGAAATGGTCCAAACACGTCGCCGAAATTATCAAGAAGGTCAACAAACGAAAATACTTCATTATACAGCTTAAACGCGCAAAAGTGCCCGCCAAAGATATAATTAACTTTTGAACTATAAAATTTTGAACCTTTTTTTATTTTTAAATTAAAAAAAATAAATTAGTTGCCCCGAATTAAAAATTTTCCCCGGTCCTCCGAATTTCTCTGTGAAGCCCTGAATCTGACAGAATAATTGAGAAAATATGCCGAGGTTCACTGGAAATTGCATGAGATGTACAGCTGCTTATCTTTATTTTGGTCCGTCGGACAACTCTATCTGAAGGTGTTTCAATCGAGGCCAGGTTGTTGTTATTAAGTGCATGCATGCAGTGACTATTTGAAAGCGGTGGTCCTTGATAATTTTGCTATCATATATATACGACACTATCCATTTGTATACTGTTTGTATATATCTTAACAGTTTTCCTTCGTTTTGTAATTCCTTATAATAGTTCACTAGTTTTGTAATAGTGTATGCTTAGCAATACTAGTACTTGTAATTTGGGTATGAAAATAAAACTTTACTAATAAGGTGACGCTCAAACGAGCAAAATACGCGGTATCATACTGACAAGGCGAAACGCGGTAACGCCTGTAGTTGATCGATAATAACACTTTCTAATTTGGTTATATGGTTTATTCAAGTACTAGCCTTTCCAATGAATGTTTCAATAGTTTATTCAAGTGCCAGATAAGTAGTTGAATGAATGATATCAATTTGCATATAGAAATTGCGAGCTGAATTTTAGACTTATAACCAGGAGTAGGTGCAACTGCATGCCCTCTGGTAGGAATCAAACCTACGGCACTGCCGAATTCCGATGCAGCGCTAACCGGTAGCTCGACAACTGAACTTTGTAGCTCAGTTGGTTAGAGCTCTGTACCAGCATCCCAGGACCGCAGATATGATTCCTGCCAGAGGGTCCGGACTTGCATTTTTCGCTTCTCCTGCATGTTTGGTCTAAAATTGTATATAATCTTCCGCGCGAAATTTCCACAGATGGAGGTCGGAATGACGTCGACATGCTACATCTGGCCAGAGTGAGAACTAATTACACTGGCCTGTAGGCCAAGTGTCTTAAATCCCTCTTTTTCTGGGTTTTTTTCGTACTCTAGAAATTGAGTTTGCGTTAGCTCATCGCAGGCTCACCTCGGTGTATAGTAATAAGCTCGTATTTAAGTACGTAATAGTCGACTCATGCTTGTGGTACATTTTTCGTTTATTAGCCCATACACGTGTACACACGCGCACAATACCAAACTCCAATGGCGACTTTTCACAGAGTGATCAAACTATATTTTACACAGTTTCGTTGAATTTTCAAAGAATTGTGCCGGTTTCCTGTGGACATCCGTTGTGTACTTGTGTTAACTTTTGCGTCGCACTCTGGACTTTCTTGCCTGTTGAATTAATGTTTTTCTTTTTGTAACAAATTAAACGACTCGAAAACCCCAAAATTTCATAAATTTATACCCAGGAAATTTATACAATATATTGGAATATAAACAAGGGCAAACTCTCCTAATTCCTTACGATAGTGTTAGTCAAATGTCGACAATATACCTTTAAATACATGTATTAAAATCCGCGCAGTACTAAGAATTAAGAGAATTCGCGTAGCGCTGGCCGCTGGGTTGCGTACTGCGCGAAATATAATCCGCGCGAAAAGCTTTGTGGTATCTATACTAAAGATAAAGCGTGCCTTCAAAATACCAACAAGAACTAGAACCATTATTGTATGGTTCTCATTTGCTAGACTTGCCACAAGTCGACCTCGTAGAAACGCATTTCGTTTCGTTTGTCGACTTGTGGCAACTGGCAAGTCTACTCATTTGCCTAATTGAATAACATTTAGTTCGACGCGAATTTTAATACAAGT